CATGATTAGTAGATGACCCCTATTGATTTTGAGGTCACTAGGTCAAAGGTCAAGGTCACAGGGGCCTTGACTTCAAAAAGCTTGTCCGCCCAATAACTTAAGATTCCTTTGACCCACAGTCGTCATATTTGGCATGGAGGTTAGTCATGATTAGTAGATGACCCCTATTGACTTTGAGGTCACCAGGTCAAAGGTCAAGGTCACAGGGGCCTTGACTTCAAAAAGCTTGTCCGCCCAATAACTTAAGATTCCTTTGACCCACAGTCGTCATATTTGGCATGGAGGTTAGTCATGATTAGTAGATGACCCCTATTGACTTTGAGGTCACCAGGTCAAAGGTCAAGGTCACAGGGGTCTTGACTTCAAAAAGCTTGTCCGCCCTATAACTTAAGATTCCTTTGACCCACAGTCTTCATATTTGGCATTGAGGTTAGTCGTGATTAGTAGATGACCCCTATTGACTTTGAGGTCACCAGGTCAAAGGTCAAGGTCACAGGGGCCTTTACTTCAAAAAGCTTGTCCGCCCTATAACTTAAGATTCCTATGACCCACAGTCTTCATATTTGGAATGGAGGTTAGTCATGATTAGTAGATGACCCCTATTGATTTTGTGGTCACCAGGTCAAAGGTCAAGGTCACAGGGGCCTTGACTTCAAAAAAGCTTGTCCGCCCAATAACTTAAGATTCCTATGACCCACAGTCTTCATATTTGGAATGGAGGTTAGTCATGATTAGTAGATGACCCCTTTTGATTTTGAGGTCACTGGATCAAAGGTCAAGGTCATAGGGACTTTGACTTCAAAAAGTTTGTCCACCCATTAACTTAAGATTCCTTTGACCCACAGTCTTCAAATTTGGCATGGATGTTGATCATGACTATAAGGTGACCCCTATTGATTTTGAGGTCACTGGGTCAAAGTTCAAGGTCACACAGGGACCTTGACAAAAAAAAAGCTTTTCTTCTCAATTGCTAAAGAATGTCCTGTCTGCAATGTATTGATTTTGACATTTTCACATTTGAAGCATGTAGAATACATAACTTAGCAATGCACTGGCTTAGTAACCTCAGATTTGGCAGGGAGGTTGTCCTTGCGCTCTAAATGGCCACTGTTGATTCTGACAAAGTGGTATGCGGGGGTATTCACGCCAAGATAGTGGCAGTTCTAGTTACTATCAGGCACTCAGAATAGTCGAGCGTTGCTGTCCTACCGACAGCTCTTGTTGTATATTTATGTCCCTTTTTTGACTTAAAAATTTTTTGTAAAGGTTTTGCGTGTAAGCTGGTAACTCCATAACTACTGAAGGGAATGGATTGAAACTTCACACACTTGTTTTCTGTGATTATCTTAAATGATTGGCACAAGTCCCATAACTCTGATTTCCTTTAATGCGTAATTATGCCCCTTTTTGGACTTAGAAATTCTTTGTTAAGTTTTTGCATGTAAGCTGGTAACTCCATATTGTTTGGTTTTATTAACCTGTCAATTCCATACTAATTACACGGTCAATGCACACAATATATTAATCTTCGAAAGATTTTCGGTAATTTCCGTGAGATGTACTCAGTGAGATTTGATTAAATATAATTTGTGCCTATGGAGCAATTATACTGAGCGGTATAGCGGAATAGGGTAAGCTACAGGTTAATGATTTCTAAGTGTCCTAATTGTTGTGAGATCGAGACCGCGTACCTCCAATGTTTTTTTGTTTTTTTTTCCTTCTTCTTCTTCTTCTTCTTCTTATAACTATTTTCAACATTATCGGAATTATATTTGCTTGTTATGTTGTTCGTTTTGATTTAATATGTTTAGCGATTAAATTCCTTTAAATAACATGCTTTCAGAATTAAAATTTATAATGAATTCGGATTAAAATTAGAAAATGTCATTTCAATGGCGTAAAACACAATACAAATTGAGACAATATTTCTTAGTTGATTCATATATGTGTAGACAATATTGGAAGCACTCGGTCATTTTCATGAAAATATACTGCAAAAATAAAGAAAAAGAGTAGGTCTTAAAACAACGGCAAAAGTAGGGATCGAACTACATACCTATATTAGTCATATATTAGACAATAACTCTACCGTCTCTGCTATCGCGGATTTGACATGGCCTATGCATTAAGCTGGTGTGACTTTTCAAAACATTAGTTATTTACTCCATATTAATTCTCGTAAACTACACGGACAGAACCGAAGTGAAATCGAATATTTAAATGAGTGCTATAATGTATTCAAAATTGACAGGTCAATAAAATCAGACTATAACTACTGAAGGGAATGGATTGAAACTTCACACACTTGTTTTCTGTGATTATCTTACATGATTGGCTCAAGTCCCGTAACTCTGATTTGCTTTTTTGCATATTGATGCCCCTTTTTTGGCTTAGAAATTCTTGGTTAAGTTTTTGCATGTAAGCTGGTATCTCCATAATTACTGAAGGGAATGAATTGAAACTTCACACACTTGTTCTCCATGATTATTTAACACTTGTTCACCATCATGACCCCAACCTGTAGACAGGAGGAGGTAACTGTATCAAGCATTTTGACAGAATTATGTCCCTTTTTATCGACTTAGAATTTACGTTAAAGTTTTTGTAATACCTCAATTATTTTCAAAGTCCATTGACATATTGCTTTGAAACTTTGCACACTTGTTCACCATTATGACCCCAACCTGTAGACAGGAGGAGGTAACTCTATCAAGCATTTTGACAGATATGCCCCTTTTTATCGACTAAGAATTTTTATTAAAGTTTTTGTAATACCTCAAATATTTTCAAAGTCCATTGACATATGGCTTTGAAACTTTGCACACTTGTTCACCATCATGACCCCAACCTGTAGACAGGAGGAGGTAACTCTGTCAAGCATTTTGACAGAATTATGCCCCTTTTTCGACTTAGAATTTTTGTTAAAGTTTTTGTAATACCTCAAATATTTCATAGTCCATTGACATATGGTTTTAAAACTTTGTATGTACTTGTTGACCATCATGACCCCAACCTGTAAACAGGAGGAGGTAACTCTATCAAGCATTTTGACAGAATTATGCCCCTTTTTCAACTTAACGTTAAAGTTTTTGTAATACCTCAAATATTTTCAAAGTACATTGACATATGGCTTTGAAACATGTTGAAATTTTATACTCTTCTTTGAGAGCATAATAGGACTCCCTCCAAGGCCTTTAACTGTAATATGGATTTAAAGAAAAATTTTGCCTTTTTCTTTACTTAGAAAATTTTATCTTTTAATCAAGGCTTTTTTTACTATCAAGCACTAAGAATAGTCGAGCGTTGCTGTCCTACCGACAGCTCTTGTTGTATATTTATGTCCCTTTTTTGACTTAAAAATTCTTTGTAAAGGTTTTGCGTGTAAGCTGGTAACTCCATAACTACTGAAGGGAATGGATTGAAACTTCACACGCTTGTTCTCTGTGATAATGTAACATGATTGGCACAAGTCCCATAACTTTGATTTTTTTTTTTCATATTTATACCCCTTTCTCGACTTAGAAATTCTTGGTTAAGGTTTTATGTGTAAGCTGGTATCTCCATAACTACTGAAGAGTTTTAGCTTGACTTTTTATATGCCCAAAAGAATTTTGGGCATATTATGTTATAACCCCCTGGCATCCGTCCATCTGTCTGTCCGTCTGTCCGTCCGTTAGCAATTTGGTTTCCGGAGCATAACTTAAGTTCCATAGAATGATTGTCGATATTGGGTAGAAGACCCCTATTGATTTTGGGGTCACAAGGTCAAAGGTCAAGGTCACTATCACACTTAAAAACTGAAAACAGTTTGCGGAGCATAACTTTAGTTCCGTTTGGCCCACAGTGTTCAAACTTCATAGGATGATTGTCCATATTGGGTTGAAGAGCCCTATTGATTTTGGGATCACAAGGTCAAGGTCACTATTACCTTAAAACTGAAAAACAGTTTCTGGACCATAACTTAAGTTCCATGTGGCCCACAATATTCAAGCTTCATAGGATGATTGTCCATATTGGGTAGAAGAGCCCTATTGATTTTTGGGTCACAAGGTCAAAGGTCAAGCTCACTATTCACTTAAAACTGAAAACAGTTTCGGGAGCATAACTTATGTTCCATTTGGCCAACTATGTTCAAACTTCAAAGGATAATGTCCATATTGGGTAGAAGACCCCTATTGATTTTGGGGTCACAAGGTCAAAGGTCAAGGTCACTATTACTTTAAAACTGAAAACAGTTTCCTGAGCATAACTTAAGGTCTATTTGTCCCACAATATTCAATATATAAAAGCATATATAGACTGATTAAATTTATAAAATGGAAACGTTAAGATTTGTTCAAATACTTCTTTGTTTGCTTTAAGAAAAAGTAAAAAGTCAAGCGTTGCCCCCATCCGCTGGTGGCTCTTGTTGCCTTTTATTGCAACAAATTGATGCATTCATTATAATAAAGCAGTGAATTACTCGACAAAACATCTTAATGTTAAACAACCTTTGTACCTTTTCGGACAATTTTATGTATTCATATAAGTAAGCATTATAATACTCAATGAAACAGTCCCTTGTGACAACTTTTTCGAATAGTCAAGCGTTGCTGTCCTCTGACATTGCATTCCTTGTGTTAACTTCTGATATAAGAGGTTATATTTTACTGAATCTTTTATTGTTAATTTTTTTTTTATTGTTATTTATTTACTTGAATAATTTTCCACAAAGTCCAGTGGTTATACAAGCGTCTTTCACCACACATCACGCTGTCTAATATTAATGTGTAACACAATTAATATTTGACTTACAGATTGATATTGGACACTTACCTGTTCTGTATTAAAAATACAGAAAAGTCAGAAGAAAGGAATGACATCATAGTAGTAATTTAAATCAGGTACAGTTTATATCAAGCTGAAAATCTGTATAAAGTATGCTGAAAGACAATATTGAAATGTCCTGAAACATTAAATATAGAATTTTTACAGTTATATTATTTGTTTTGTTTCTGCAGAGAATGTTGTTCGGAAGTTAAATGTACCTGCCCACACTGTGGTGTCCATGACTTTCTGGGACATTCCTGGAAGAGAAGACATGGATCTTCATAAATCGTACTTTAGAAACCTAGATGCTGCCATAGGTAAATACATTCAATGAATCATCTCTTAAAACAAAAGTTTTTCAAATTATTTAATGTTTGAATATGTAAGTTTATTGGAAATATCTTTGCGACTTTTTAAGCTCACCTGTCACAAAGTGACATGGTGAGGTTTTGTGAATTTTTTTCATCCGGTGTCAGTCCATAAACTTCAACTTTTAATGACATCTCCTCATAAACCAGGATGCCAATTTCATCCAAACTTTACAGGAATGTTTCTTGGGTGGTCACCTTTGAAAATTGTTAAAAGAAATGAATTCCATGCAGAATTAACTCTGGTTGCCATAGCAACAATAAGAAAAAATTTAAAAAATCTTATTTTAAAAAACCCTAAGAGCTAGAGCTTAGATATTTGGCATGAAACATCTTCTAGTAGGTCTCTACCAAGTTTGTTCAAATAAAAGCCCTGGGGTAAAAATTGGGCCGGCCCCAAGGGGTCATTGATTTTCCTTATATTACATTTTTTTATTGGAAAAAAATCTTTTACTATTATACTATAGAGACTGTAGCTTAGATATTTAGTATGAAACATTGTCTTGTGGACCTTTACAAAAAAAATCTAATTATAGCCCTCAAGTCAAAATTGCCCCGCCCTGTGGAGCCTTGCTAATCCAAACCCTTCTATACCTACAGCCTGTTCTGCCATTCAAAATAAAAATCGCACATTTGCAGGTGCAAACATATATGTATACTTAACTGATCATAAGAGAAATGCCGCTTGCTTAATGGGTGAAACGTATGAACTGCTTAGTTGTGAAAATTACACTTAGCTTGTTTTGATGACGTATATAATTACTTAATTAAATAATTGTCGCACATTCCAAATTAAAGGTTTGTTTTCCTTATTTGCATTCACATAATCTTTTGTACTGAATTTAATGACGTGGGCTGAAATAACGGCAATTAAATGGAAAACTGTCAGTGAATCCGGACAATTGCCGAATCTGGTGAGAAAACAACAATTATTAACCAATACCGGTACGAATATTAAATTGAAATATGATGCTTGGAAGTTATTTTGTCTCTTTTTATTGTTACAAATAATCATGTCTCAACCATTCTAATCCGGAAACCATTCTAATCCAAACTTTTCTTCTGGTCCGGACAAGTTCAGATAAGACAGGTTCCACTGTAGTACAAAAATAAAAAAAAATTCTACAAGAGCTAAAGCTTAGTTTCCATACCAACCAGTGACTTTATAGCAGCCATTGACTTTTTGTCACAAAGATATTTCATCAGACAAAGAGATTATCTATTTTACTAATCTGTCCAGTAATCATGTTAGTGTACCTGTTGTTACAGGAAAACTTTTATCAACAGTTTTCAGCCAGGCTTTCTTAGAGTGAGAGGTTTTCATTTCTTCTGAGTGTTTATTTACGAAGTGTTTGTATTGCGCGAGGTTTCACATGTGTAGTTGGTTACTTTGGGGAATTTTTCACCAAACTGTATCTCAGTTTTGTTGTATAGATTTTGGGCTTGAAAAATGAAGAAAGAGTAGTACAATAAATTTCCAATGTTTAATGTTGTTAATAGAATGGTACTGTATAACAACACACTGGCCTTTTATATGAATTTGTAGTCAAGCATTTCACCTTAACAACAAACAGAAATGAAGACATGGTGATAAATAGAATTATAAATGTAATATGACTGTCTTATAGAGAATTAAGATTTATTTGTCCATAAAACAACAAATACAAACTAATATGTTGAAAAACTATTGATAAAAGTTTTCCTGTAACAACAGGTACACTAACATGATTACTGGACAGATTAGTAAAATAGATAATCTCTTTGTCTGATAAAATATCTTTGTGACATTTTCATAGCTAACTGTAAATTTTCATAGCAAACAGCAAACTTTAATTTTCCATAGCATTGAGTGAATGTACCCTTGAATTTCCTAGCAGGCACTGACTTCCAAGGATTAAACCATTTATTTTGTATAGCAAACACTGACATCATATAGAACTGTTGTTTTCCCTTAGCAATAGCAACCAATAATGTTTTTACAACATGCACTTTTTCAGATACAAATATGAGCTTTGTGATATCAGTTTAAGATTTAGATTTTATATCTGCTTTCAATTATAGTTTACAATTAAACTTGTTCCTTGTCATGGAAAATATTCATGTGACAGATTATTAAGGCCATCATGACCCTCTTGTTTTAATATTTAAGGATATTTCAAAACCTCTCCTTATTCAGAAAGAAATTCCCAACAACAGCTGAACAAACAACTGGATAGGCAACCTGTGTTATTATATTTCTGAATTCATATTACCAAGGAAAGTACCATCACTGATTATCTTTTTTAGCTCACCTGTCACAAAGTGACATGGTGAGCTTTTGTGATCACTTTTTGTCCGGCGTCCGTCAGGCGTAGTCCGCAAACTTTTACTTTAAACGACATCTCCTCATAAACCGCTCAGCCAAAAAATTTCATTCAAACTTCACAGGATTGTTCCTTTGGTAGTCAACTTTAAAAATTGTTCAAAGAATTTAATTCTAAGCAGAACTCTGGTTGCCATGGCAACCGAAAGAAAAAACTTGAAATATCTTCTTTTAGAAAAACGAAAGAGCTAGAGCTAAAATATTCGGCATGAAACATCATCTAGTCAGTGTCTACCAAGTTTGTTCAAATAAATGCCCTGGGGTTAAAATTGGGCCCGCCGGAGGGGGGGGGGGGTCATTGATTTTCTCCTTGTTTGTATATAGTAAAAACTTAAAATTTTTTTTAAAAAATCCAAAAAGCTAGAGCTTAGATATTTAGCATGAAACATCTTCTAGTGGGTGTCTACCAAGTTTGTTTAAATAAAAGCCCTGGGATCAAAATTGGCCTTGCCCGACGGGGTCATTGTTTTTCCCTTTAGGTATATAGTAAAAACTTTAAAAAAATATAAAAAAAATCTTCTTTTAAAAAACCTAAATAGCTAGAGCTTAGATATTAAGCATAAAACATCTTCTAGTGGGTGTCTACCAAGTTTGTTTAAATTAAAGCCCTGGGGTCAAAATTGGCCCCGCCCCAGAGGGTCATTGTTTTTCCCTTTATGTATATAGTAAAAACTTAAAAAATTTAAAAAAAAATCTTTTAAAAAAACCAAAAAGCTAAAGCTTAGATTTTTAGCATGAAACATCTTCAAATGGGTGTTTACCATTTTTGTTCAAATAAGGGCCCTTTGGTTAAAATTGGCCCCGCCCCAGGGATCATTGATTTTCCGTATATGAAAATAGTAAAAACTTAAAAAAAATCTTCTTACAGCTAGAGCTTAGATATTTACAATGAAACATCTTCAAATGGATGTCTACCAACTTTGTTCAAATAAAAGCCCCTGGGTTAAAATTGGCCCTGCCCGGGGCCTATATACAGGTGAGTGATTTCAGGGCCTGATCATGGCCCTCTTGTTTAAAAGATATTTCTTGTTTACTTCACTATTGAGTCTCTGTGGCTGAGAGGTTAAGGTCCCTGACTTTAAAACACTTGCCGCTCACTATCCTCATACCATTAGGCATGGTCCACTAATTTCCTATTGTGGCTTTTGTTTCTTATATCAGCAAGGATTAAAAATATGGCGTCTCAATAATTTTTTATAATTAGTATTTTTTTAATATCATATAGCATAGTAGTACATTACAGTATAGATTTTAGTAAACTTTGACAACACGAAGATGACGATAGGCAGCACGTGTCTCTTTGTAGCTAGTAATGTAATTAAAGGATTTTAAGACATCAACTGTTTATATGATACTTAAGTGTTGAATATGTAAAATTAACTCTGGTGTGAATTTTATGCTATGCTCTTTTAAGTTAAACAACTCTTTTGACTCCTGTGTATTGCAACTGTTAAGAGTCACTCCCCTTTGATCAATTTTCAAGTTGCCTGAAAGTCCCAATATTTTTTTTTACCTCAAATGTCAAATTTTGAAGTTTTACTTTATCACAATAAGAGTTTATGGGTCATTTGTGTCCAGACTGTAACTTTGTCATGCATCAAAGGATTTTTGAATAACTAGGCATAAATGTCAATCACTTCAAGATGATGTGTCGCGTCCAAGAATTTACTTCCCTATCTCAAAGGTCAAAGTCACACTTTACTTTTGAAGTTTCACATTTTCACAATTAGAGTTAATAGGTACACATGGTCGTGTCCGAACTGTAACTTTGTCATGCATTGAAGGATTTTTAAATAACTAGTCATGAATGTCTACAACATCAAGACGATGTGTTGCGTTCAAGAATCACGTCCCTACCTCAAAGGTCATGGTCACACTTATAGTTTGAAGGTACTCATTCTCTCAAGAGGAGTTTGAAGATACACATTCATGTCCAGACTGTAACTTTGTCATGCATGTTTTGAAATAACTTGGCACAAATGTGTACTACATCAAGACGATGTGTTGTGGGTAAGGCTCATGGCCGTCTGTCTGTTTGTGCGTCCCCAGTTACACAACAATCAGGTCCAGACTGTAGCTTTGTCATGCATTGAGGGATTTTGAAATAACTTGGCACAAATGTCTATAACATGACAACGTTGTGTCGCGTCAAAGAACCATGTCCCTTCTTCAAAGGTCAAGGTCACACTTATATAATGAAGGTTCACACTATCACAATTAGAGAATATAGGCATACACATTCATGTCCAGACTATAATTTAAGTTTTAAAATAACTTTGCAAAAATGTCTACCACATCAAGATGATGTGTGGTGTGTAAGACCCATGTTTCTACCTCCAAAGTCAAGGTAACTCTAATAGTTTGAAGGTACTTATGCCCATAAGAAGAATTTGAAGGTACACGTTAGTTACCAAACTGTAACTTTGTCATGCATAGAGGGATTTTAAATAACTTGGCATAAATTTCTACCACATCAAGATGATGTTTTGCAGGAAAAACCCTTGTCCCAAGGTGTTAAGTTCGCTATAAATAACACTTCATTTCACAAGAACATTAAGAAATAAGTTACTTTCATTCTCTTTTCTTTTCATAATACCTGCTGCTGCATGCTTAAGAAACCTTTACAGGGGCATTCGTCACTTGCGTGACAGCTCTTGTTTTTAGATAAATGTGATCGTGAAATTTTGACACATTATTGCTTATTTCCTTTCCAAACAAAAGAGCTAGTTTGTTTACTTCCATTTATGTAAACAACTGATCTAAGACGACAACAAAGATAAGAATTAAGTGGGCTGTCTGGTATTTGATGGTTGTCTGTTTTTATGGTTGCCAACCAATTTATTTTGACAGATACAGTGACTGAGAAAAGAAATATAACTTTGAGAATACTTTTTTTATTTAAGTGGTAGTTGACCTGACCAACAAAGCTACTATAGACATGGCAAATGTTTGGAAACAAACTGTTCTCAACAAACTGACAAGGCTGGTTCCTACAGAAATCAGTAACAATGGGGAACAATTGCAAGAGGTTCCAGTGAGTCCTGTCAACTTCCCAGTACTGCTTCTTGGCAATAAGTTTGATATTGTAAGTTATTTTAACATACCTTTAGTTATATTGTTGTTGTCCTGTGACATTTTTCATACTTTGACATTATCATTGCTTCATAGGAAACAATATTTTCACATATTTAAATATGATACTTATTCTAACTAGCCATTGACTTAAAGAAAAAAGTTCAGAATTTCAACATTCAAGTTTTAGTGGTCATTTAACAGATTTTGGATGCATGCAGGCATAAACAATATATATACAATTACAGTGCACTCCAGATACAACGAGATTGTTGGGACTTCGGATGATTCCTCGTTATAACCGGGTCTCCTTATAAATGGGACAGAACAAATTGAGAAATCCGACACCGTCGAGCATCATTTATTTCTACTTTCCCTTTCGCGTGCATCCTTTTTAAAGAGTATATAATGGGAGGTAACTCTTTGCAATCAGAAGTTTTTGTTTTATTTAAATATACATGTATATAAATATATCTAGCTATCATAGAATTTAAACAAAACATGAAAACACAACCTACGTCTAACCGTGTGTGTTTTTTCATTAATATGTATTTTTAAAGTTCGTTTTCAAAAGTCACGCAGTGCATTTCTCACAAACACCGAATAACACCGCAAGAAATTAGCCGCTTCCTTTGTGCTAATCACTCAATGAAATTGTTTTGTTATGACGTTTCGTTTCCTTAAGGACAATTTAGCCTGGAGCATTGACAAAACTAGGCTGACACATTTGATCGCTAATTGCTCGACCCATTATTATCGTCCCGCGTCAATAATTTCTTCCTTAATTGACCTTTATTATTGGTCATCATTGTTTTTCTCAAGGTGACAAACTGATGCAGACGAAGTGCAAATGAAGTGACCTCGATAAAATGCTGACAAATACGCATGGGATGGTGAAATTATGTACGTTGTAACCGATATCTCGCTAAAACCGATCTCGTTATAAACGATAAAAAATGAAAGCAAAATAGAAGGAAAAAGGCCGGGACACAGTAGAATGTATGTTGTAAGCGGTACCTCGTTAAAACCGATCTCGTTATAAGTGGAGTAGACTGTAAATGATTAATTACATACATATACAAAAATTCACACTTCACGATTTTCTTTTGTAAATCCCTCTTTTGGAACATATTTTTAGCTCAACAGAACCAAAGGTTCAGGGTGAGCTATAAGTATCAAAGGGGGGTGGTCCAAGTCACATCTGTCGTCTGTCGTCATGCGTCAACAATCATCTTCTTCTCTGAAAGTGCTGGACAGATTTAATTTAAATTTGGTCTGTAGCACCTAATAATTGTGACAGTCACACCTAAATTTGTTCATATCATTTCAATTGGCCCCTTTTAGGTGTCATGAGAGGCTGAGAGCTAAAAATAGAAAAACCTTTAGACATCTTCTACAGAACTAATTGATCGATGATCACCAAACTATGTCTGTAGCATTCTTAGGTAGTCTTATATCAAATTTGCTCATATTAATTTGATTGGCCCTTTTTAGGGGTCTCTAGAGGTAAAAATAGAAAAACCTTTAGACATCTTCTTCTACAGAACTATTGATGGATGATCACCAAACTTTGTCTGTAGCATTCTTAGGTAGTCTTTTATCAAATTTGCTCATATTAATTTGATTGGCCCCTCTAAGGGGCCATGAGAGCTAAAAATAGAAAAACATTTAGACATCCTCTTCTACAGAACTTATGGATGGATGATCACCAAACTTTGTCTGTAGCATTCGTAGGTAGTCTTTTATCAAATTTGCTCATATTAATTTGATTGGCCCCTTTTAGAGTCTCTAGAGCTAAAAATAGAAAAAACCTTTAGACATCCTCTTCTACAGAACTATTGATGGATGATCACTAAACTTTGTCTGTAGCATTTTTAGGTAGTCTTTTATCAAATTTGCTTATATTAATTTGATTGGCTCCTTTGAGGGGCTGCTTAAGCTGTACCCCAGGCCATGGCATATCAATTTGAGATAAACCATGCTCAAATTTGATGAAAATATTGTTAATTGCTATACGGTCTTTTGGTAAATATAAAATAAACATGTTTTGACTTAAAGCTGCATGCCTCCAGATGAGCCAAAATATTTCAAGAAAATTAGATTTGGAAAAACTGTTCTAAAATTGTAAGAAAAGTAAACAGATAAGTGATAATTTATATTTTATGTGCAATTAATAACTTTTTAGCTCACCTTGCACATAGTGCACAAATTTGAGAGCTACAGTGAAGTTGATTTCCCCATTCAATAATGGATTCTTCCATTAATTTCGTAACACCATCAGAAAGGAGACTGTGTCATTTCTGAAATACAATGTAAAATATTTCGGTTCTTGACAATGTCTTGCACATTTTATTGTGTAAGATATTTCACAAAGAAACGAAAGTGAACAAAAAATGTTTTTTCACAAAAATTAGCTGATTAAGATAAAAGTTTAATTTACAGTACGGATATTATTTTTACATCCTTCCGGTTTGCGGGAAAAATCATATATATTTCAAGGTACCTTTTCAAGATGAATTTTTTCAATGAATGAAACTTTTATTGAAATTTATGAAAGATTTCGATGAGACAAAATTTTGTACATCTATTCTACAGTAAGGACATAGGCAAAGTGATGTTTTGGGATACAAACTAATTGATACATATTTGGTATATTTTATTTGGACAAGTATGTCATTTTTTAATAAAATTTCCCAATTTTGAATTTCAAAAATGCTTTCAACAAATATTCTCTCAAAGTCTATCTTGCAAATATAATGTAATTGAGTTTTCTCAATTATCACTTAATGATTATATTAGGTTAATTAATACATGTATAATCAAATCAAGGTGTAAAGGAATGTCAAAAAAGTTCACTGATTAATCCCTACAGTATACAATACTATATATACGAGGGTTGTTCGGGAAGTTCTGATAATTGTTTTATAGCACACGTTGTAGTCGGGTTAGCGTAAATATAAATATATACGCATTTATTTCAATATATACTGTACAGTATCTGTAAATATCATCATCATACACACAGAAACTAAAACATAATAAAAATAGTAAATAACCATATAACAAACACCCGGAGCACGCCGACGTCATTTGCATCGTTATGCGACATTAAAGTCCATCGATCGTCGCACCTTTTCAACGTAGTCACCTGCAATTTCGATGCATTTCCTGTGTCGGCTGATCCACTTATTGTATGTTTCCATGTACCAGCTATCGGTAAAGGACGAGACTATAGCTTGCGTATGCTTAACAAGATCGTCAGCTGAGTCAAAGCTTTTTCCACGCAGCTGTGATTTGAGCTCCGGGAACACACGGAAGTCCATCGGAGCGAGGTCCGGGCTGTAGGATCGTCTTCGATCGAGTTTCTTCCTTCTTTAAAACGAGCATGCCATCTATACACTGTAGCATTTCTTGTATTTTCCTGTAGAATTGATCATTTTCATTGTTTCTGTGGAAGACTTTTCCAGCGCAACACAAAATTTCACGATGCTTCGCAATTAAACGTCACCTATCGACGTCATGTTGTTTACTCAGTGGCTCTGGGCAACAACTTTAAAACAATGTTGATCCGTTGAGAATTTAAATAAGGTTATGATATTTTCAGGAAATGATGTCATGACATTCCGCTGCTGACCAGCGTTTTCGCGCATTTTTTACGTTATCAAAATTACGAAATATTATTAGTGTAGCGCGTTATACCTTTCTTTAGAGTCAGACTGCTCCGGTGCGGCGTTATAGTGTTGCTATGGTTACTGCTATTTCCGGCTATTGTTGTCTGATTCTATTCAATTTTGAGGAATAGTTCTGTGATATGCTAATCTTAGTATGTGCAAAATATTACGTCTTAGAAACAAAAAATATAGGAGATATGACAAAATTCTCAGAACTTTCCGAAAACAACCCTCGTACATAAAAAAAAATGTAGCTGAAACGTCTAGGAGGTGTAAAGACCAAGGCCGAAACGTCCAGGAGGTGTAAAGACTAAGGCCGAAACATCCAGGAGGTGTAAAGTCCAAACACCCTAATGAGTACCAAAATATTTTGATCTGCAAATTAGGTGGTTCGAGGTTACATTGTCATAATATTTCATTCTTAGAACAAACATTATGTGACAATTCAAATCATTAAATAATGCATATCAATCAGTCCATTCAACAACTTTGCCTCAGAAAACATCTGTATCAATCTGTAGTCGGTGTAAAAGCTCATCAGCTAATGTTTATTGTTGATGTATCCAACTTATAAATAAAATTTACTTGACTTGACTTGACCTCGAGTTGAGACAACAACAACAACAATTGCCGCCATGCACAAGAAAATTGAGAAATTTTGTAACATAAACTCGTATTTCATAACAAAGAAGTGAAGATGAAGACAATTATCTGTGTTCTTTGTTGAAACAGGTATTTTGTTTACTGTTTGTGAAGTATTAAGGCATGACATTCAGTATTAATGTAAATATCACCTCCTGTGTTATGATTTCTAAAATTATACATGTACACATGTGATATTGACCTCAATAAATGTAAGTGAAAATGGAACAATAATTATGGTAATTATCCATTGTGCTAGTAATACTTTATCATATTGTTAACTAAGCAAGAAGATTAAGTAATTTAAAAATTAACCTCACAATATTATCAATTTAAACTTGAAAATCTACTCAAAATGACTTCCCAAACAGTAATTTTTGAAACATGAAAGTGATTCATGTAGAAAAATAAGGCAAGAAAAAACTGATTTGGCTCATGAAAATTTTGGCCAATCAGTCTGCCACGTAAATTTCTGACCTTCCTGAGATCCTGCTGTTTGTTGTTGTTTGTTGTTGTTTTTTGTTTTAGTTAAATTCATAATAATGGTCAATGGTAGGAATTTTTCGTAACAATTTTCTCAGCAACTACTTTTCACAGCCTCTTGATATTTGGTATACGGCATTAACATGTAGTCACATACCATGGGATATAATTTAGGTATGTTGCTCTTCCACTTCCCGTTTGTTTAGTTAAATTTTCC